GCGACGGCGCCGTGAACGCCGCCGCGGAGGCGGACAAGCACCGCCGCTACCCGGCGAGGCAGGCGCCCTGGCGGATGGTGCCCCTGGCGCAGGAGACCGCCGGCCGGCACGGCCAGGCGGCCCTCAAGCACCTCCGCGGCCTCGCCCGGGAGCAGGCGGCGCTGCTGGCGGCAGGCGACGAGGCCGAGGCGGAGGCCCTGGCCGGACAGCTGGTGGCCCGGTGGGGGCGGGAGCTCAGCGTAGCTCTCCACCGGGCCGCAGCCCGACAGCTGCGCTCCGCCCTGGGCGCGGACTGCGCCGGGCGGGCAGCTGAACTGCGGGCCGCCGCGGCGGCCTAGCCGGGCGGCTGCTGGTGCTCGCGTTGCTCTACCAGGTCGTCGCGCGGCTCTTCCTTGTCCTGGCGTTCGGCTACATGCTCAGGGTGTGTGTCGGGCGTGTGATAGACTCGCCGCAGCGCTTGCAGGAGGAGGAGGAGGAGGAGGAGGAGGAGGAGGAGGAGGAGGAGGAGGAGGAGGAGGAGGGAGGAGGAGGAGGAGGGAGGAGGCGGGGAGGAGGAGGAGGAGGAGGAGGAGGAGGAGGAGGAGGAGGAGGAGGAGGAGGAGGAGGAGGAGGAGGAGGAGGAGGAGGGAGGATGGAGGATGGAGGAGGAGGAGGAGGGGAGGAGGAGGAGGAGGAGGAAGGAGGAGGAGGAGGAGAGGAGGAGGAGGAGGAGAGGAATGAGGAGGAGGAGGAGGGGGAGGAGGAGGAGGGAGGAGGAGGAGGAGGAGGAGGACGAGTGCCGCGACGAGAAGCCTCCGAGCGACGCGTGGCCCGTGGGGGGCGGGACCTCTCCGCGCGCCCGCGTGCCGACCGCGCGAAAAATGAAGATGAAGAAAGAGTGCCCAGATCTCCGAGGATCTGTTTAGTTTCTATCCGGGCGTTTCGCCCCGATTTCGGCTTCTCGGGCGCGTCATCGGGCCCGGGGGGGCCATCGGAAAGGAATCCGGACGAGAGACTGTGCCTGGGGAAGCGGTCGGAGCCTTCGGGGCCGCGCGTTGAAAAAAAACACATCGGCCGATGTCTGGGGAGCATGAAGGACGCGCTGCCGTTGGGAACCCAGAAGGCGCGATTCTCTCTCGTTGTTGTCTGAAGACCACGTGTTTGCTCAACAGCAAGACGCTGATGGGTTCCCCGCGGTGGGCATGTCATTCGTATGGTTGATGCCACATGAGCATGAGATGTGGAAGGTCCGCGCGGATTTCTCGGAGCGGCGCGCGACCCTTTTTCCTGGCGCGAGAAGCGCGCCAGGGGCGGCGCCGGAGGCGCTGGAGCCGCCAGAGGGGTCAACGCCGATCCGAGAGGTCCAGGGGGACCTCCCACAGGTTGGGTTTGTATTTTGTTTTTCCTCCATGGGAGGGGGTTGGCCCTCAGATCCACGCATCCCGGTCCCCAAAAGGCAGTTTTCAGCGCTCTCAGCCTCTGGAGGCAATTTCCCGCCCCGATGGTGCCATCAGCAAATCAACTCGGGATGAAGAGTGGGTCCTGGGGAAGGGGTCGAGGTCACCGGAGGCCCCCGTCACGAAAACAAAGGCGCCGTCGGAGGAGAGGAAAGGACCAGGGGCCTAGCTGCCGCGATACGCCCGTTATGATACGGAAAACGTGCCCTGCTCAAAACGTCCGTGTCAATACGTTGCGTGTTGGCTCAGCGCATTGGCCCATGTTGTGACGAGCGTATCGCGTCGGACCTGCGTTTTCAGCCTACGTGCTGACCTCCGTGTCGATACGCTACGTGGTGCGCGGTGCGCGTCGGGGCAGCTAAGACCAGGGGTGTGTGGATATCGTGGCCGGGGCCGTGAGATCTCCCAGGGCTCGTGGCCCTCTTTTCCTCTCTCCACCCTATTACGATGTACGTGCCAGGAGGTTGCCACAACGACCACGCCCGCGATGATTCGACGAGATCTGCGCGACAGTGCGGCAAAGCCATGCAGAGATGTGCACTGGGAGGCACTCGCCCGGAATCACAGTCACTGGATGATCACGGAATCTGTATACGTCCAGGCATCCCACTGAGGCGCCCCAGCGCACCCGCCGTTCCCTACACGGGACGCCCCCCGGGCGACATCGGCGCCGCTCCGCTCCGCTCCGCTCGGCTCTTCCTCTCTCCACGCGCCCCCCGGCCCTCCCCCGTCCGCCCACCTGCCTCGGGCCACGAGGCGCGACCCCCCCTCGCCCCCCCTGCTCCTGGCCCTCTCCGTCGCCGCGCCCGGATGGGGTCGGAGGGTGGAGGCTTGCCCCGAAGGGCTTAGGCGACCCGTCCTCCTCCTCCTGCTCCTGCTCCTGCTCCTGCTCCTGCTCCTGCTCCTCCTCCTCCTCCTCCTCCTCCTCCTCCTCCTCCTCTATTCCTTCTTTTTATAGAGAACTCCTCCCTGTCGCACCCCGAGGCCAGTTTTTAGGGCGGGCCGGGCGTTTCGTTTGAGACTCCCTCACCATTTATGACTCTGAAGCTTAAGCGTTGACAACAGCTTCACAGATGGAGGGCGGGTCGCTTTCAAAATTTGTCTCTCGCATTAGCGCCGCGCACATTCGTTTCAAACATTTGCCAGAGTTTCGCGGATTGAGGGCGGGTCGTTTTCAACATGTGGTTCTCGCCTAAGCGCCGCGCGCATTCGTCTTAAGAATTAGCAAGAGCTTCACGGATTGAGACCGGTTCGTTTTCAAAAAATGTGGCTCTCGCCTTAGCGCCGCGCACCTTCGCTAATTTTGCAAGAGTTTCACGGATTGAGGGCGCCGTTTTCAAAAAATGTGGCTCTCGCATTAGCGCCGCGAGCATTCGCTTTCAGCATTTGCAAGAGTTTCGCGGATTGAGGGCGGGTCGTTTTCAACATGTGGCTCTCGCCTAAGCGCCGCGCACATTCGTCTTAAGAAATTGCAAGAGCTTCACGGATTGAGGGCGGGTCGTTTTCAACATGTGGCTCTCGCCTGAACGCCGCACACATTCGTTTTCAAACATTGCAAGAGGAGTTTCGCGAATTCCGATGGTCAACGCACTAGAAAAGCCGTTTTGGAAGGATTCAGGACTATGCGGGCGCAACTGTTATGTTGATTCGCTGTGTTGAAGTCCCAAGAATGGCGCTCTGGCACGATTCTGGATCGGCAAGACGCAACAGTCAGGTTGATACGTGGCGTTGAAATCCCGAGAACCATGTTTTGGCACGCTTCAGGGTCTTCAAACTGTTATCTCCTGACGAGGCAGTCCCCTCTATGGAAATGAACCGTTGTAGGGGCCTATGAAGAGGGAGCTTGGAAGGAGGGTTCATCCCAACATCGTTGATGACTCTTGGGTTTCCACTGGCCCTCCTCCTCATCCTTCTCCTCCTCCCTCCTCCCTCCTCCCTCCTCCCTCCTCCCTCCTCCTCCTCCTCCTCATCCTCCTCCCCCTCCATCTCCTCCTTCTCCTCCTCCTCCTCCTCCTCCCTCCCCTCCTTCCCCTCCCCCTCCTCCACCTCCTCCTCCTCCTCGGGTCGCCTACGGCCTCGAGGGAAACCGTGCATCGGAGGGTAGCGCCGCGTCTTCGATGCATCGGCGATGCCCATGCAGAGCGCTTCGGAGCTCGCGGGTCTCCATCCAGGCGTCGCCGGTGTGCGCATCGCCGAGGCCCCAGGCTCTCTCCCAGGCCTCCAGCGGCGTGGTTGTCTGACGACGTGCAGCGCACCCCTGGAGGTCTCGACGTCTTTGCAGTCTGGGGTCTGAACTGGCCACCTCACCGATCGGCGGCGAGCCAGGAGGAGGAGGAGGAGGAGGAGGAGGAGGAGGAGGAGGAGGAGGAGGAGGAGGAGGAGGAGGAGGAGGAGGAGGAGGAGGAGGAGAAGGACGAGGAGGAGGAGGAGGGGGAGGAGTGCGAGGAGGAGGAGGGGGAGGAAGAGGAGGAGGAGGAGGAGGAGGAGGAGGAGGACGACGACGAGGACGAGGACGAGGACGGGGAGGGGGAGGAGGAGGAAACGGCGGTGGGGCTTCTCAGAAGCCCTCGCGCCTTCGGAGGAGTTGTTGCGTCTTCGGGGGAAGCTTGGAAAGCTTTCAGAAGGCCCAGGGGCTTCCGAGCCTTCTGAAAAGGCCCGCCCCTTAACAAATACACAGTATGAATACTACTCTCCTCTCTCACCTGACTCTGTCCGGAGAGTTTCCCGTCCTCTCCGCGCATTTTTTTTACAGGATTTCATTATTTGGTTGTTCGGGTGTTTTTTTCAATCCGGTCGTTTCCGGTTCTTCCAAAATGGTGTTCCCGCTGCAGCGCCGCCCTCATTTCCGCACTTAGGTCATCCAAAATCGTGCTCCCGCTGCAGCGTTGGCCAAGTTTCCGCGCCTCCGGTTGTTCGAAATCGTGTTCCCGCAGCAGCACTGGCGTGTTCGGTCCTTCCACGTGGCGCTGTCGCTGTAGCGTTGGCCTCGTTCCAGTGCTGCGGTCCTTCCAAATCTTGCTCCCGCTGCAGCGGTGGCCTCATTCCCGTTTTCGGTCCTGGCCTCTTTCCCGCGCTCCGGCCCTTCTAAATCGTGATCCCGCTGCAGCGCCGGTCCATTTCCGACTGCGGATAGGAGGTCCACGCCATGGTAAGGGGTGGGATGGGAGGGAGAAGTAGGACGTCAGGGGTGGCGCTAGCGCACCTAGCCTGTCACTTCCCCCCCCTGGCTCGCCGCCGAGTCTGAACTGGCCACCTCACCGATTCTCTGAACTGGTCTGGGAGTCTGAACTGATCCAGTAGGCCGATCTTGGGCCCAGGCTGGGTATGGCCAGGCTCGGCGAGGTGGTCGTTCAAAGTTCCCCGATTCCTGGGGGCAGTTTTGTTCGTACCGTTGGTTTTTGCTTGTCTCTGTTTTGTCAGACGGTCCCTGGGGTCCAGCGAGGGTCGCTGGAGTTCGACAGCAGCCCACAAACTCCCGTCCTGATTTGTTTCACGACGCGACGAGGTCTGGACCCATCCCTACTTGGACCTCGTTCGGGCGGCCTTCGCCAGCGCCGGCGAGCCATGGCGGGCGCTGGCCTGGTTGCGCAGCCGAACTTCTTCGTCTGGGGCAAGTGGAGGTCCGAGAGAGGAGACTCATGAGGGCCCCTCGGGAAAGGCCATGCGATAAGCGCCCGGAGCGCCTGGGAGTCCTGGAGAATCGGGGTCCTAGGCACTCGGAAGAGCAATCCTGCGCAACATTCGACGCCGAGAACTCGAAGGGGTTCAAGGAGGCTCCACTTCGTGCCTGGCTTCACGGTGGCCGCTCCTGCGGTTCCTCCCCAGGGGGCTCCCGAGGGGCACGACCCCCCGCAGGTGTGCCAAGGACCAGGAGAGTGCAGCACTTCGCCTCCAGTCCACCTCCCCCCCCCACCCAAGGGCAAGACCAGGCGGCGAGATCGGGGGACGCAGGCTTTGATCGGCTACACGTGAGGGTGACCCTTCGCCGGAGTGGCTCTTGGTGCGGGCTCACAGGTCCCTCCCCCAGCACTGTTTGGCATTTCGATCTGCATGTCGAGCTGCACTTCGATGTGCACGTCGATTGCGCTTGCGCTTGGATTCACACTTGGATGCGCACGTCGATTGCACTTGGATTTGCAGTCTCATTGGCTCGTCGGTTTCCAAATCGACTTCAACTTTCGACGACAGCACGATGGCCATGCAGATGTGCGCTCGACAGCGTTGCTATGTTTCGATGAAGGTATCCTGCGGACCTCCTGGTCAGCAGTCAGAGGAGAATGGCAACCACCGAAACTCGCGGGAACGCTGAGGGTCACTGCTTCGTCCACTCAAAGCCTGCGTCTCCTCGCATCGCCGCCCGGCCTTGCCTCTGGGGAGGGGGCGATGTTTGGATGCAGGCATCCTGCGGACCTCCTGGTCTGCCGTCGGAGAAGACTGGCAACCACCGAAACTCACGCGAGCCCATGGAGTGCCTGGCCTCCGGAGGCTACACCCGCGGGCTACGGGCTACACATAGGGGGCGGCACTCGGCGGCCTACACCGCACTCGGGGGCCACACGTGTGGGCCACACACGCGGGCGACTCTCGGTGGCCACATTTGGGGGCCTATACTTGGGGGGGGGGCCACACACTGGGGGCGGTCCGCCCGCGCCGTCACCCCGTCACTCTTGTCCGCAAGCGCGGGGTCTTGCGTACAGATGTACCTACGAGCCGAGGTATAAGGTCCATGCCGGTTCGGGGAGGGTGCCCCAGTGTTCTTCTGCTTCGTTGGAAGCTCTCGTGCATCCTGGGGACGGTGCCCTCGTATGTTCTGTGTGTTTTGGCCAGCGGATGGCCTCATGTTCTTGAAGGCTGTTCTTTCTGTCCTAGGTATGATGGTGTTTTCAGGAACACAGTTGGTTTGATCGCGAAGAGGGAAGTCCTGCGTGCGTCTCGTGGTCCTGTCATCGGATCGCCAGCTGGGAAGGCCCAGGGGACCTCGCCATCCGAGCGCAAATGCGGGACTCCCGAAAAAGGGGCCGTGTCGCCGAGTGCCGAGCACCGCTGGGCTCATTCAGTCATAACAGAACGCGTGCGGGCCCCAAGTTAAGGGTATTTGCTGTTTGGGTTATTGTTCGAATCTAACAGTTTGATCGGAGATTGATCGACCTCCTACCCTGCCACGTCGATTAAGGAATTGGCCGTTTTCGGTTCGCGAGAGGGCGTCGCGGCCATCATTTTTGCGGGTCCAGGTCCGTCGGCTTCGGTCCCAGGCCGTTTTCACTAAGGGGAAATTTACTAAAGGGAGGTTTGTCCACCGCCGATTAGAACATTCCCAGGGGCTGGTGTTCTCAGAAGTCTCAGCTCTTCGAGGTCAAGAAACGTCGACGAGCCATTCCTCACTCGGAAGGTGTCTGCCCCCGTCAAGAAGACCGTGCTCGGCGAGAGCTTCATGATCGCGCTCACCGAGGACGGCGGGGCCGCGCGCTTGCGCAAGTCGGGACATATCTTCAGGCATTTATGCATGATTACCGGCAGTCCGGGACACACAACGAAACAGCCAACACACCCATCTTGAAGATGTTTCCAAACTCGCTTTTCGACCGAGGACGGAAGGGTCATGTCTTGGGGCAAGGACGACACGAACGGTTGCTTGGGGCTCGGCAACAGCAAGAAGGATACGAAGAAAGACTTGCCAGGAGAGGTGCTGTTCCCCAAGGACAGTGACGAGGTCGTTGTGGACATCCAGATGGGCAAGGAGCGGGTCGGAAAGCCCTTTCCTGCCCCTTTTTCACCTCCTCTGCAACTTCCTCCGTTCCTCTCCCCCTCCTGCCAGCCTTGGGTCGAGCATGTCCCCCTACAGGCGGGTTCTGAACGAAGAATCAAAAATACTTTGAATGAAAAGTCAAACATATTCAAACATGTCCAAGCCATCGCCAGACACATGTATACAACAGAATACGTCCCCAGACCATGTGCTGATTTTCGTTTACATCTTCCTCCTGTAGAGGGACAGGCCCGACCTAACGCCAGCCATCTCGTCTTCTTTCTCCCCCCTTGTTGCTCCTGGCCACGCGCAGAAGGGATGAGGGGGAGGGGGAAGGCTTCTTAGAAGCACCCCTGCTTCTTAGAAGGCGCGGGCCTTCTTTGTAGGTGTAAGGCCGGCGCCTTCTAAGAAGCAGCCTCCTTCTAAGAAGCCTTTCCCCCTCCCCCTACCCCCTTGTGCGCGCCGCCAATGCTCTCCCCCCTCCCCCGAGAGCCGCCCCGAGGGCCGCGCGCCCCCGCTCCGCGTGCCGCGTGCGTGCGCGCGCGCCCCGGAGGTGCTCCGCTCCGGCTTTTCAGCGCCTGACAGGGCTCGTAGACTGAAGCCGGGCCCGTCCCTCTGCAGGGGGAATCTTCAAAAATAGTGAAAAATAGTCTGGGGATTCTTTGTCGAATAGTTTGGGAATATTTAAAAATAGTTAAAAAATAGTCTGGGGATTATTCTTTTAGTATTTATCGATCATGTTGGAGTATGTTTGACTATGTTTTACATTTTTCGTCCAAAATCCCCCTGTAGGGGGACAGGCCCGACTTCATCGTAGCCCCCTCACGGTCTGCGCTGCCCTGAGGCGGCAGCAGAGGTGCGCCCCCACCCCGCGGCCTCGCTGCCGCTGTCGTCTTCCCGCCTGCCCCCCCCTCGGACGAGGCGGCGAGAGCCTGCCACGCGCAGAGGGGGGTGAGGGGGAGGGGAAGGGGCTTCTTGGAAGCCTCCCCCCCCTCCTCCCCCCCCCTGCCCCCTCGTGCGCGCCGCCAAGGTGTGGGGGCGGGGGCCGTCCTCTGCGCGGAGAGGAGCACGTCGTGGCCCTGACCCGGGGCGGCGAGGTGCACGCCTGGGGCAACGGCTCCCGAGGGCAGCTGGGGAGCGGCGAGCTGCGGAACCAGTTCAAGCCGAAGCGCGTGGCAAGCGGGCCCATTCGGCGGCGAGCGAGGGGAGGTAAGTGGAGGGTTTCTCCGAAGGGCTTGGGCGACCCGTCCTCCTCCTCCTCCTCCTCCTCCTCCTCCTCCTCCTCCTCCTCCTCCTCCTCCCTCTCCTCCACCTCCTCCACCACCTCCTCCTCCTCGGGTCGCCTACGGCTTTGGGGGAAGTCGTGCAGGGGTAAGTGAGAAGGAGAAGGCCTTCTCGGAAAGCGGCGGGACTTCTCAGAAGCCCTCCGGCCTCCTGAGAGGTGTTCTGCGTCTTCGGAGAAGCCTTCGAAGATTTCTCAGAAGGCCGGGGGACTTGCGAGCCTTCTGAGAAGGCCCGCCCCGTCTCACTTCCCCACCCTGGCTGGCCGCCGACCCGTGGCGGACAAGCAGATCAAGCAGATCGCCGTCCTCAACGACTCCACCTTCGCGCTCGCGACGACCGGGGAGGTGTACGCCTGGGGCGACAACACGGACAACATCCTCGGGCTCGAAGACAGGGATGTCGACCACGTGGCCGAGCCGGCGTGCCTGACCAGCCTGAGCGAGCCAGTGCGCCGGCTGGAGGTCTACGAGAACCAGACGGTCATCGCGCACGTGCGCCCCAACGGCGACAACGACGAGAACGATCCCATTCGGCGGCGCGCCGAGGGCGGAAGTGGGAGGAGGCAGGCCTGCTCAGAAGGCAGCGAGCGGGCTTCTCAGAGCCTCTCTGGCCTTCTCCGGAGAAGGCTCGAGAGTGCTTCTCAGGAGGTCGGAGGCCGTCTGAGCTCTCCGAAAGAGCCCGCCCCCGCTGCCTTCCCCCCTGGGCGCGCCGCCGGCCCATGCACGCAGACCAAGATGAAGAAGACGCTGATCCTGCAGAGCAGGTCAACGTGGAAAAGGTCCGCGCTGTCACTAAGAGAGTGCTCGACAGGCTACAGGAGTGGTACAAGCACGTACTGAGAGTGAAGCATGGGGCTCCCTATGAGGGCAGGCCAGAAGCTATGGCTGAGGACTACGATGCCCCGCCAGAGAAGCTGGAGCAGGCAGAGAGGCATCTGGGAGTGATGGCTGGAGAGGCCGTCGTTGAGCTCGACAGCACGAAGAAGCAGCCCGGTTTTGCCAACGTCAGGCTTATGTTGTGTATGTTTATTGAATTGTGCCAGCTGCGCAAGGAGAAGGTGCAGCATCTCATAGGCACCCGGCAGCTGTCCGATACCATCAAGATGACAGAGAGCATCAAGGCTTATGATCCACGCTTAGCGCATGTCCTCCAGCCCATCCAGAAACGATCTCCAGGCGAGTTGCACTGCTCACGGATGTGTATGGCCATGCAGTGGAAGGAAGAGGTAACGCAGCCAGCAAACCCAAATGTGGGTCCAGCCAGAGCAGATTCAGGAACGGATCATATATCGGAGGCTGGGGGGGGTGAGACCAAAGTCAAACTGAGTCCCCCAACCAGGGATCGATTCCGGTTTTGGTTCGTGCCGTGCGCGACGTGCGTGCGGGCGAGGCGAGGCGAATTTGCGCGAGTTCATGCCCTAGCCAAGCCCCAGGTGAGGACAGTTTGCCTCCGCGCCCCCGTCTGCCGGGGCGTGCGGCGGTTGTCCCTCGTATGTTTTGTACGTTGGTTCCTTTCGCCCGTACAAGCCTCAGGATCCGCAAAACACACTTGTTCTTTTCTCCCGTGAGATGAAGCTGCGAGTTTTTCGCCCGAATGTTGCCCCGATGGTGGTCTGGCTGGTTCTCCTGATGGTTGTCCCGATGGTTGTTCTGATGATTGTCCCGATAGTTGCCCCGATCGTTGACGAATGGTTGTCTCGATGATTGTCCCGAAGGTTGTCCTGATGGTTGTCCCGATGGGTACATTGCACGCCTAGTTGACAACACACATTTTGCACCACAGCGATTGCATCGCTCATATATTGCACAATGCATGCTGCAACGCACAGGTTGTATCCTACACAGGTTGCACCACACGCATTGCACATCGAGAGTGCAACAACCCGCTATTGCAGAGGCCTCCGGCCTGTGCCGCCGACTCAGGACGCTCCAGGAAGTTTTGTGCGAACTCATCTTCCTGAATAGTCTGTGAGTTTTACCTCGAGGAGGCAGGAGGGACAATGAGGGGGGAGGGGGAGGGGGAGGGGGAGGAGGAGGAGGAGGAGGAGGAGGAGGAGGAGGAGGAGGAGGAGGAGAGGAGGAGGAGGAGGAGGAGGAGGAGGAGGAGAGGAGAGGAGGAGGAGGAGGAGGAGGAGGAGGAGGAGGAGGAGGAGGAGGAGGAGGAGGAGGAGGAGGAGGAGGGGGAGGGGGAGGAGGTGGACGGGAAGGAGGGTGTTGGCAGTCGCCTTAGGCAGTATGTGTTGACTGGAATGTTTGCGTCGTGTCCGTCTGTCGAGCTTGTTGGCGGGCTAGTTCCCTGACGGGTTGGCTCATTGGTGGATCGTTGGGCTTGGGAGTTCTGGCCCGGGCTCGGGCCCCGCGGTCCTGGCCCGGGCCCTCGCCGGCCCCTGCACCCGGACCCAGGATCCCGGCCCTCCCGGCCCCTTCCCCGGCCCGGCTCTGGCCCTGGCCCCGCCCCCGGCTCCAGCCCTGCACTGGCCCCGGCCCCAGCCTCGGCTCAAGCCTTGGCCGGGAGCCCTTCCCCGGCCCCAACCCTGGCCCCCCCCAGCTCCAGCTCAGGCCCCGGGCCCGCTGGGCCCAGCCCCGCCACGGCCAATCCCCAGTTCCTGGTCCCCGGCCTCAGCCCAGGCCCCATCTGCAGGCCCTGGCTCCGGACCCAGAAAAGTGTCAGTCCCCCTCCCTCTCCCCCTTTTTCCCCAGCGGCAGCCCCATCAGCAGAGCTGGAGCTCAGGCTGCAGCTTGCCTAAACTCATACGCCGACTCGGCAGATTTGGGGTTCACGATGACAACCGGAGTTTAACATGACCGGTGCGTTCGATTGGGTCTCGAGGTCTTGCATGATCAGCTTTGTGGTCAGAGAGAACAACTATTGTGACCACGCTGATCAGTGTGGCCTGGCGGATTCCTTGACTGACTTTGGTGCAGACGCTAAGGAGGAGGTAAAAAAGGTAGTCGCTGTAACGAAACAATTGGAACAGGTGTTGTCCGTTGTGAGCAAGATATCCGTGTCCGATGGTCCGACACGGGACTTGAAAATTGCTCTCCGGGAGTCGATTGAGTGTAAATTGCAGCTCCACCTTACCCGAGTGGAGATGCTGAAGGCTGCTGATAGCAAGGCATTCCAGGACGAGCCCTTCGACGCTATGCGGCCAGCATTGCGGATTGTCCTTGACCGCTGGAACCACTTGAAGCAGTTCAGTTTGTATCAGATGTATTCTGACAGTGAAGCTAAGGACTTAAAATGGGATAGCGACGATCAGTATCTCACGCACTTGGTTCAGGAGTCGAACAAGCAGATCGACCAGATGCTGGAGATAGATAACAACAAGCTCATCTCCCACGACACAAGCGTGCCGTCCTTGTGCTACAACCTGCTGCGGGAGAATGCGGAGATCCGCAAGATGGCGAACGCATATCAATTGCATGTTCTATTGCTGTACAAGGGGCGAAATCCAAGCGGCGCCATCGTGGGCATAGATCGCCATCACAGTGCCTATATCCCATGAACACATGTACATCGAGTGTTTAAGTAAAGTCATACCACCAATGTCTCACACCTCGCTCCACCAATCCGAGTGGCGAGACAGACCTTCAAGCATCCTGGCCGAAAGCGCCAGAAATATCATCACCGTCACGGTCACCATCACTACCGCCGTCACCATCACCATCACACTCGCCATCATCAGCATCATTGCCACCAGGCCGTTTCGGCGGTTGCCGGGCCTTCCTGGCGGCTGGAGCTTGTGACGGACGCAATTCTTCGGAACAGTGCAGCCCTCACGAGTCAATGTTTTCGGCCACGGTTCATGCCCCCCTGAGAGCAAATGCAGCCAGGACGCTGACATAGGGACCGCGCTGGGCCCAGGAAGGGCTCTGGTTTCCAGGCAATTCCAGAGAAGTGTCTGAGTCGGACATCCTCTTCGTGGCCGAGTCCCGCCATGGCCAGGAGAGCACCTTCGTTCCCGATGGTGTGCTGCCATCTGTAGGGGGCCACATGCGAACCCTACCCCTACCCCCCACGATTTCTGAGGGGGAGGGTGGGGTCCACTTCGCTGGCGAGCTCCCGAACGAAGTGAACCCCACCCTCCCCCTCAGAAATCGTGGGGGGTAGGGGTAGGGTGCGCATGCGGTCCCCCAATCTGGCACCGCGGTGCTTGCCTCGCGGCAGCGACGGCTCCTGCCGGCAGCGGGTCCGGCGGCGCGAGTGGGCCTGCGAGGCCGGGCGTCCCCACGGGAACCTTGTGGCGAGCGCGGCGGGGCCGCCGAGGCGCGCGGCGGCCTCGGGCGAGCGGCCGCTCTCCAGGCGAGGCCTGGGCTCGGGAGGGGCCCTCCGCTTCCAAGGGCCGCTCCTGGGACAGAGGCAGGCGGGGCGGCTTCTCGTGGAGGAGGCTCCCCGTGGCCAGAGGAGCCCATGCGTGTTCCCTCCGCCGCGTGCCTCGTGGGGGGCGTGATGGCTGCATCCTCCCCCTCCGACGCCCCCCTCCCAGGCCCTCGGCGTCGCGGTTCTTCCCGGCGTGCGCACCAAGAGGTGTTGACCCCTTCCCCCGGGGACCGTTTTTTCACCCCGGGCCGTTTGTGTTGACGGTGTGGGCCCAGTGCATGCGCCGCGCGCCTCCGAGCGTCGAGGGGAGGCTTCGTCAGATCTGGCAGGGCCTCGCCCAGTCCACAGCAACAATCCACCTCCTCCCTCTTCTTTCTCCTCCTCTTCCTCCTTCTTCCCCTCCTCCTCCTCCTCCTCCTCCTCCTCCTCCTCCTCCTCCTCCTGCTCTTCCTCCTGTCTCCTCCTGGGCTCCTGGTTCTGGTCTGGTTGGGGCTCGCGGTGGGGCCCTGTTGGGGCCAGTTTGGGTGGGCCTCGACCCATTGCCGCTGACTGGAGTGGACGACCCTCCCGTCGTTGGCTCCGCGGCCTCCTCCTCCTGCTGCTGCTGCTGCTGCTCCTGCTGCTGCTGCTGCTGCTGCTCACGGCGGACTTGGTCGTAGAGCTGAAGCTGTCCTCCTCCTCCTTCTCCTGCTTCTCCTCCTCCTCCCTCTTTTTCCCTCGTCTCGTGGCGGCCTGCGCCGACGACATCGGCGCCATGGTGGAGAACAGCTCTCTTTAGCTCAGGTTAGGGCGACCTTCCGCGCTGCGGAGGTGATGGCTGGGCTGTATCGCAACTTCAAGAATGCGTGGTGCGATGCCTTCTACAGCTCCATGTCCGAGGAGTTCCAAGCATGGTTGGGACTTTGCCATGAGAAGTGGTCCCTCTTCAAGATCACTGACAGTGCCGAGAACCTGGGCATGATGATCTGCTTTGCCCGACGTTTTCGGCGCACGTTCACAATTTTTAGCGGTGACCCCGCTGGGGTTTGGGGGCCCCCCTGGTCGTGCTCCACGCCTTCCCCTAAGGATCCTACGCTCGTCAGGGGCAGCATTTGTGCTCAGCGGCGTGGGCTAGAACAGGGGGGGCCTATGCCCGCGCCCTCTCCTTCCCCCGCTGCTGCTGCCATTGCAAACGGCTCACTTGTAATCTTTTTTTCTCGGCCGACTTTGCCATCGCAATTGGACGTACGCCCGAAGTTCTGAATGGGAAACTGGCCGCCTTCATGTGTGAGCCAGGGTCCCAAAACCACCTAAAGGGCACAGGGCACTTCGGCCCAGTGGCTGAAGTTACCGCAACCAAAACCGACGGTTACCAGCCGAAGCGGCGCAAGCACCGCAGGTCAAGATGGAGCCGTCGGGAACGTTCGAGGCGCACCTCGAGGCCAGCATGTCCGATAGCTGCCTCGTTCGAGGCGGAGGGGGCCCTGTGAGGGCCAACGGCCCGCTCGCGCCGTGACGGCGGGGGGGTGGCTCGGAGAATTGGCGCAACAAGCGTCTCTCCCACAATTCCAAGCTGATCGGCCTGTTTTCCACCACCACCATAAGTTGGAGGGGGAGGAGGAGGAGGAGGAGGAGGAGCAGGAGGAGGAGGAGGAGGAGGACGAAGAGGAGGAGGAGGATGAGGAGGAGGACGAAGAGGAGGAGGAGGAGGAGGAGGAGGAGGATCCCCTCCCCCTCCAACTTATGGTGGTGGTGGTGGAACACAGGCCCATCACAAGCGTCGCGAAGCAGGGCGACCTGCTGCAGCAGGCGAAGCAGCAGGGCGGCCCACTGCGGCGGGCGAAGCGGCACGGCAAGCGGGATGCTATGGGGTGGCCTGTTGTTTCCAGAAGGAATCCGGGGGAGCCAGCATGGCTGGTGGGGGGCACATGCCCGACCCCTTCGACAACGTGCACTCTTCACGCGGCCGCACTTCAGAACCATGCAGAGTTGCCGTGGCAACGCGGCAAGGCCAGAACGCGCAACAGCAAACAAAACACATTTCGCAACCGCCCCTTGGACCTCACACAAAGGAGCGTCGAATTGACGCCCCTGCGTTGCCGAACGATTTGCGAAATGTGCAAGCGGCATTGCAGGAACAGCGGGGGCAGCAACAGTGTGCTTTGCAAGAGCAAAAAGACAATGTATCCAAGCTCTTGGTGGTACCTTCCGAGAGTACGCGACAGCGAACGACGAGCGCGGTGACCAGCAAGCCCGGGCAGTCGCCGCAGAAGCTCGACACATAGCGAACTGGTTAACCAACCGCACAGTCCGCCCAGTCACCGACGATGACGCTTGCGCTGCTGTTGAAGTCCTGGCGGCTCAAAGCGTCAGAGACCGTGAACAGGAACAACCACAAAGACAGGGAAACGACGCCTACCTTTACGACCAACCTCAGGCAATGGGCCAGCAACTCATGGCTGTTGAAACCAAGCGAGAGCGCAATACTTTCATCAACCAGCAGCGCGGCGACCTGCTGGAACAAGTCCTCCCAGACGGCAGTCGGAGCCCTGAGAGCGCAACAGCTCGCCAAGAACACAGGATTGGAGCAAGTCAGCAGTCAAATGACAGATCGCGTGACCACCGTGCGTGCATGACACTTTGCCACGCATATCTCCGAGAGCAGCTACACAGCATGGATGACCAAGCCTCTACGAACAACGACGTGATGCCTATGCGCGAAATTGCGCTGATGGACCTGCACAAACAGGTCAGAGACACGTACCAAAGGCCCGAGGCACGCGAACATGGAGTGGCCGACCCGGACGACAAGCTTCATAACAGCGCTTCCCAAGGGGGATAAGATCAGAATTTAGGCGACCGCTGACGTTGCCGGGCGAGGTGCGCTGATCGATTCGATCAACGAGACAGCGGGCGAAAGCCACAAAGACGGGGCGAGGCAGTTCTCTGCGGTGTTCACTAAGCAATTGCCACCCATCGCCTGGCACGCGAGCTCAACAACGAGACTGCCACTACTTGTGCCCCTGTCGCCGCAGCCGCGGGAACTTGCGGAGTGGTCAGTCGCTTGGGACAGGTGGCTACTGGCACCGACGCAGACCGCCCTCGCGCCCCCTGCACGGGCAGCCGCAGAAGGGCGACCTGCCGTTACGACTGCGGCGCGCTGGCACACTGCAGCAGGGCAGCTCGCGGCCACGCATGCGGAACATGGCGAAGGGACAGCCCGCCGCGAGCACGACGTGCCTAGTGTCAGGGGCAGGTGGCAGGGACGAGGTCTGCAAGGTCTGCATCCCAAAACGGGGTCCTTGGCAAGCAAGAGCCGATCTCTTCAATGGCGGCCCTGTGGGCCCGTTCACCTATCCAGGACAACCCGCAGAGACGCGCCGCCGCCCCCCTTCCGAGGCAGAGGGCGGCGGATCCTCAGACCACGAGCGGCAGAGCGCCGCCGAAGATGCCTCGCGAATGCTGCGGAAACAACAGACGCGCACAGAAACCAGCGCTGCCGCCTCCGGGGTCCTCGGAGACCTTTGCCGCTTCCCCCGGCCCGTCTCTGTTTTTCCCGTGCGGGGGCGGAGTAGTCTGGCGAGCGGGGGAAGGGGGGGGGCGCTGGCGCCCGCGCGAGTGGGCACCTTCTGCCAAGCACCCCGCCAGGCTGCTTCCCCGGGCAGGAGAGCAGCCTTTTGCTGAGCACCTTGCGAGGCCGCTTCCCCGGGCAGGACGGCAACCTTCCGCTGCGCACCCTGCGAGGTGGCCCCCCTGGGCAGGAGGGCGACGTTCTGCGAAGCGCCCAGCGAAGGCGCGCCACTCTGCAAAAGGGCGACGTTCGGCCGAGTCCTCGCCGAGGTTTTTCTCCGACGCGACGGGCCGACCTTCCGCCGCGGGGGCTCGGACTGCTGCGACGCGCAACGATGGCCGCGCGCGCCGCGCCCGTGGCGACGCCTGGCGGTGCGTGGCGCCGCGCGCGAAGTTGCATGTTGGGGTGCGCGGCGCTCGGGCGGAAGGCGCTGCTGGACGCGAGCTTCTGCGCGCCGCGCGGCAGGTCGCTAAAGCGCAGCGCGAGGCGTTGCTGTCTGCGTCGCGGTCTGCCCTGCTGGCCGCAGCCGCATCCCGGCGCTTTTCTTGATTTCGGACTCGGCGGGCAAGCGACTCGCACTGGCGTCCGACTTATAGGCTTAATTAAGTGGGGCGCGTCCCCCCACAGGAGGAGCC